TCAGAGTGCGTGCGTGCGTGCGTTTGTGTGTGTGGCTTACTTTTTCTAGGGAGTGCGTGTGTGTATGGGAGAGAGATAAGTATTTCAGAGTGCGCGTGTGTCTGTTCAGTGTGTGTGTGTGCGTGTACGTGGAACTGTTATTTTTGATGGGTGTGCGCTTGGATGCTTCAGGATGTGCATGTGTGATATCTCAGGCAGTTTGCGAATAGCTCCAGGGTTTGAGTGTTTGTGTGTGCGCGCACATTGGTGTAAATGATTTTTTTCTGGTCGTGTGACATGGTTCAGGGTGAATGTGGAGTGTTTTAGTGTGTGTGTCTGTGTGTGTGCGTGCGTCTGTGTGTGTGTGAAGGGGTTCGGGGCGTGTGTAACGTGTGCCACTCTGCGTGTGACTCGTGTCAGTGTGTGTGTGCGTGTGTGTGTGTGTCTATGTCTATGTCTATGTCTGTGTCTGTGTTTGTGTCTGCGTCTGTTAGTGAGGGTATTTGTTTGTCCAGGGTCGAAGTGGACTGTTTGAGGGCCTCTGTGAACTGTTCAGGGTCCGACGTCGCCACCCTGCTCTTACACTCTTGCCTCTTCTCCCAATTTACGCATCTTCCTCCGTGTGTTGCGCATCCTCTCCAGTGCAGTCCTCCTTATGCCACATGTGTACCACATCTATGGCCGCAGACGAGGGTACAGTAAACGTGCATGCGAACGAAAAGCAACTGTGACTGACTTCAACGCACAGGAATACGGGCACCTCACGAATTCGTCAGAGTTCCCGTGCAAAAGAGGAGGGAGCCAGGCGAGCCAGAGTAGCGGACCCCAGGAGGGCCCCGAGATGGCCCCGAGACAGCGTTGGCGACAGGTGTGTTCGAGAGTGTCTTGGTGCCTTTTTTCCCGAACCCATGGAAACCCAATGGAGCCTCGGCATGGCTATAAGAGAACCCAGGGAAAACCAGAGGATGGTCCCGAAACAGTCCCAAGAGGCCTTCGAGCACACGTATCGCAAAACAGCGTTTGCGATAGGTGTGTTCGGGAGCCTCTCCGTTTTTTTTTTCGGGCCATCACCCTCGGGGCGCTTTTGGCCCTTCTTGAGGCCATCTTGAGTCCCTGTCGGGCCGTCTTACGGCTTCTCTTGGGATTTATCCGCCCTGTTTCTTCGCCCCCTTTCCCCTCCTTGTCCACTTCTCCTCCTCTAACCTATTTTCGGATGCATTTACATTCCAGAAAGATGACGCTGCTGGACCCGCGCCGCCAGCTGCGCCGTCTTTTTGCATGAATTCCTCAATGTCTGAAGCCATCCGGCCTCCTTTTTTTTCATTTCCATGGGACTCGCGCGAAGTAGCGCGTACTGCAGCTCGTGGGGTTTCATCGCTGTGCGCATCGCGAAACACACTGGACGGGCTCGTGATTGGGGCGGCGACTCAGTCTTTGGTATCCGAGCGCAAATTTAGAACCCTCTTTTCTGGCGCGAAAGCAAATCTGGACCCCGCTGGCCTCTCCCACGCGGCGCGTTGCCCCCGCCCCTGAGGCGCATATTAGTTTGTTTTGGGTTTCCGGTTTGGCTCCAAGAAGGAGGGTTTCGGGGTTGCCAGGCGATCGACAACGATCGGGAACCAAAGCAGACGCCAGCCAGGTGCGCGAAGCCCGCGAGGTGTGCCGCATATTCCCGGATGGCTCCTTGGAGAGCTAATCGGGTTCGAGATCGGAAGCCGGCAGGCAAGGATAACCCGGGAGCTCGTCCTTGCTTCCCGCAGGAATCCCTTGTGACAGTTGTCCGAAATTGTAACGTGCCCCAGAAGGCAGTTCCCACCTGTTTCTCAAGACGTGTGCCGTCAGGCTTTTCAGAAGCTCCTTCCCAGAGCTACCAGAGCTCCTTCGAAGGACCTTCGGGAATCTCCTGTCGCCCTGGTATACAAGTTTTAGACACCACAAGTGCCAGCTGCGCCAGGCACGCGCCATACTGGGCAATACGTCGACCCTCCTGCCGTCCACGTCAAAAACCAAAGCACAGGAACAGCGGTTTTGTTGTGTGCGGGTGTGCACCCACGATCGCTTTGCGCTTTGCAATTGCTTGGTGGGCCTGCGCACAGTTGGCAGTATGCTGCCCCCCCCCCGTCTCTAGCAAAATGAACGAGTTTGCTCCTCCAATTTGGTATAGTGGGCCTGCACACACCAGGCAGTATGCCAACGCCCCCGCCATCCGTGTCAAAAACCGATGCAGTGTGAGCGCCAGGCGTCCGCGCATGATCCAGATTTTGGTGCAAAGTATGTTTTGCATTGTTTTTTTCGAATGGTGTGGTTTGGGGGGGTTGCTGGTATTGCACACATTGCGGGTAATATGCTGCCCCTCCGCCGCCCCTGTCAAAAACCGATGCGAAGTTTTTCGCGGGGCGTCCGCGCATGATCCAGGAGCTGGTGTAAAGTGCACTGTGTATCTGCACGGGGTTGTGGAGTGTTGGCCGTCGCGCAGCAAGCAATATGCCGGTACCCCCGCAGCCCCTGTCGAAAACGAACGCAAGGTGGTCGCGGGGCCCCCGCGCATACTCCAGACTCGGAGGCACATTTTCTGTTATACTCTTGTTTGAAAGGGATGGCGGGGTGGCGGGGTGGCACGGGTGTCGCATGGGTCTGGAATGGCTGCGAGTCGGGTGGGGGTAGGGGCTGTTTCATGAATGTGGAACAGTGATCAAGACACTTCTCCCAGGTGCAAACTGGTTGGCGCACGCCCACCTACCTCCCAACACATAAATAGTAACTGGGTCTCAGCATATTGAGCGGTCGCTTTTGGAAGGGCAGCCAATGGGAACCAGTACAGACCCCAGGTGCGGGACGCTGGGGCGAGGTGCGCCACGCATACCAGGCGCGCCACGCGCACCAGGCGCCCCTGGGGCCGAAGCGTGCTTGGCACGCCTGGTGCGCGAGATATGCCACGTGCGCCAAGTGTGCCGCATGCTCCAGCCGCACAAGGTGCGCCACGATCAGTGCACACGCAGAGTGTGCCATGTGCGCCCTCTCACATTGGGAAACATGTGCCCTCCCCCCCCCACTCCGCACAATCGCCCCGCCATCCCTGTCAAAAACCAGTGCAGGGTGATCGCGAGGTGCCCGCGCATTATCCAGATTTAGTCGCGAAGTGCAAGTTGCATTGTGTTTTAAAGGGATGGTGGCCCTGCGCACAGCAGGCCATGTGCTAGCACCCCTAGCCGTCCCTGTCAACACACAATACAAAGTGCTCTGCGCCCCCCCCGAGCATGATCCAAGATTTTGCCGCAACGTGCACTTTGCATTGCTTTTTCACGGGGATGCCGGGGAGGCGCCCGCATTGTCCGGGGTTTGTTGTTGGTCGGTTGGGGGACGGGGTGTATATTAGTAAGGAGCAGTGGTAAGCCCTTCCCCGAAGGGGAAGAAGGGGGTTAGAGGAGGAATCGCTTCATACAACACACCCATAAGGCTTTCGTGACTGCGTGAGCTTCCGTAGTCGCTCAGCTTCGCTCAGCAGCTTGGACCACAAACCCATTTCGAGGTGGGAAATCTATTCCTGCCAATGGGGGGCTATGTGATTAATTCATGGTTTCTCCAGCTCACGCCTGGAAGCGTGAACGTAGAAACCACAATTCTCGTATAACCGAACATTATGTTCACGCTTGAACGGCATCGAATGAGTCTCGTGCGCGCAACCCCGAGCGATGTGAAGACCCCCCCCCGCTAGGGGCAGGGCGGAGTCCAAGGAGCAATGTTCAAGGAGAGAAGCAGGAGAAGGTCAGCCACTCATTCGGAGCGGCCTCCGTGGCCGAACCGCAACACATACGGTTTCCCTTTTCCACTGTCGTCGAGACGGTGGGTCGAACACAGGTCACCGACGCACGAAGGGACGGGAACTCTGGCCTGTCCGATTGCCGTCCGCTTTCCTTGCCCCCCCCCCCCCCCCGCCCCGCTCGCTCCTCGGCCTGGGGCGAGTTCATTCTGGCACGGACGAGCCCGTGACACACAGCCCACGCGCGTCGTTATTGTCAGACGGGTTGGTGCGATGTGGGTTCGGGCAAATGGGCACGGCGCGGTGATTTGGGCACGAGCTCATCTGCCACTAAATTCTCTGCCCCGAGCCACCGCCTTGGCTGGCCGATGTCGGCCTTGCTTTGCCAGCTTCGCAGGTGGAGTCCATAACAGCCGTCACAATACTGCATCAGACTCCCTCGCCACGACCCAGGGGATCTGGAGGGAGATTGAAATGAATCCAGTCTACTGAACCTCTGGATGTTAGTTGCACTCGCAGATATCGACGTGCAGGCGTAATGAACAACTAGAGCAGACGGGTAGATGTGCACACGTATCAGAGCTTGGCGGAGCCATACGTGTATGTATACACAGATTGAGAGATAGAGGGAGGGAGGCAGGGCGGGAGAGAGAGAGAGAGAGGCACTTGCCCATCCGAGTGAAACTCAGGGAGGCGACCCATCTGAGAATTGAGCGAGTGGCTCTGGGCAAGTCCTGGAGTCAGAATCCGTTCCCCACCTTCTTTGGTGTTGTGGGCAGCTTTTGCCGCCACAGCACGTTCAGTGGTCCGAGGTGTGTCACACGTCATTCGCATGGTGGATTAGTGAGCCTTCGTCTGCCATTGGGGCGAGGAGCTCCGCGGCACATGCTTCAACGAAGCAAGAGCAGTCGAATCGGGAATCGTGCGTCGACTGAAGTACGCGGTCCCGAACTTGACTTCCAAACGTCGTGACATTCCCGAAAAGGATAGACGTGAATGTATTATGCAGTGGACGTTGCAGAAAGTTGGGAGGGTCAGCCTTAGACGAATCCATCGTCCATGGTTATCTGCTCGGTTCATATGTGGCCAGGAGGTTGCTCCTGCTGACTCGGCCGCTGTACCTGAAACGTAGCCTGCATCCTTCCCCTCCCTTTCCCTCTCACGGGCCCCCCGCCTCCCAGATTTGAGCGCAGCGGTGAGGTTTAGATCATTACCCATCCGGCCTGATTGTGCATCCCAGCCTGTGGCGGCAGCCGGTCAGGCCAGGGATGCCGCCGCCGCCCCGTTCGTGGTGGCGTTCGTGCTGACTGCGTGCAGCGGCGCGATCAAGGTCCAGCCGGATTCGAACGCCACGGCCGACCGATGTCCGTCGCTGCCCGATGTCGAGGAGAGGGTGCGGGCGGGGGTGGGGGTCTTTGTGGTGCTGAGCAACTGGAGCAAGGCGAGGAGGGTGGCATGCTAAACAGCCCGCTCCCCCACGCCCCGGCCTGTTTGGAAGGCGGAGGGGGGCATCGCTTTGAAGGGACTCGCCCCTTCTTGGTAGCCCCATGCCTTTTCAGAAGGCCGCGCTCCTCGCCCTGCCCAGCATCGTCACGCCCATCCCCGTCCGCAATGGGCCAGGGCTCCTTATCGTTATCGCCACCAGCCTACCAAGGTGGGGATGGGTGCTGCGTAACCCGACGGGGTCGGCATGTATGCGCGCCTGAGCGGGGGGCAGTTCGGGACAGTTTGGCCGATGCTTCCCCAATGTGGATTGGGGTGAGTCTCACAAAAAGTTGGGCCGGTGTTTTCCAACTGTCGGGAGGGATAGGTCTCACGAAGCTGATTTCCGCCTGCCGCCAAGGTCTGAGCGGACCCCAGGAGAACTTGGCTCTCAGAAATATTGGGGGCTTCTTGCACATGCCTGCTAATCGCGGCGGCATCCGCTGGAGCCTCTGCGAAGGGCAGAGGACTCGCCGGAAGGGCTACAGCAACATGCGAGCATCCATGTTGTCTACCATGAATTTGTATACACATGGAGTGCTCCGGGAAGGGCCGCGTCTTAGGCGCATCCTCGCCTCGGGCGGACGCCAGAGGAAGGCTGGCGGAAGGCGGCGGAAGGAACAGTCAGACGCCAACGTTCTGCGGTCTTGGATTTCTGGAGTCGGCCGCGTGACGTGGCCAGTTTGGGCGAGAGATGGATACACATGTGGCCATGTGTGTTCCCAGTGTTCGGTTTTGCAGTATGTGGACAGCTACGTTGACCTTCCGCATGGTTGTCTTGCGTGCGCTCATCATGCGAATTAATCCGTGTGCGTGTGTGTTTCAGTTCCTTGGTAGGGTTCAGGGGACCAGCTCTGCTGTAAATAATCCTTGGTGGCTGAATAGACACCCTCGGAAATCAGAGGTTATACTCACCCGTTCTCCCGCATTCACTTTGCCTCCTCATCCTTTTCCCTCTTCTCCCTCCTCCTCCTCCTCCTCCTCCTCCTCCTCCTCCTCCTCCGTCTCCTCCCCCACATCCTCCGCCTTCTTTCCCCCCCTTATTGGTGGCCACCGATTTGAATGAAGAGAAAAGGCCACTACCTCGCGCAATACTGTCTACCAGTCTGGAGTTGCGCCCACTTCCGTTGTGTTAGGTCCTCGGTTTGAATCCACAGCGCCGCGCGTGTCCTCTTTCTCTTTCTTCCCCTCGTCACCCTCCTTTGTCTTGTCCGCCCGCCAACGCCGGCGCACTCCGCACACGTTTCGTTTCTCCGCATGGAGATCCACCTACGACCCCAGTGTGCGCCCAAGTATGCCGCTTGGAGACTAATTTCGCGCACTGCTCACAAACTTCGTACCACCATAAGCAGCAGCAGCCCCAGTGGGCGCTCACGTACGCCGCCTCGCGCTCAGGTCGGCCAATCCTCAACACGATTCGTGCCCCCAACTGTAGGGTCCATCTACGGCCCCAGTGTGCGTGTTCGCATGCCGCCCCCCGCCCACTTCGACACATCCCTCAAGCGTCTCGAGCCTCCACAGGGAGCCCTACTCACAGCCCCAGCGAAATGGTCTACATGCCGCCCCACCGTCCCTTTCGGCAAACCCCTCATGCGCTTCGTGCCCTTCAGGGAGCTCCGCTTACGACCACCCTAGCGACACAGCCTACATGCCGCCCCCCGCCAATGTCGCCCTCCCACCACGCAGATCGTGCCCCTCAGAGAGCTCCACCTACGGCCCCAGCGACACAGTTCGCAGGCAGGGGATTCTTCGCGTCTCTGAGCGCTTGTTCCATATGCCCCCCCCATTCGCAGAGCCCCGCGGGGCGCAGCTTTTGAAGAGAGTGGCACGCCTTTCGCTACACGCAGCTTTCTGTGGTTGGCCCCTTCGCCAGATGCTTAAATTCCCCAAGCTGCGCTTTTACTTAGGGGGTCTTCTTTGTCTCACTAAAAAATTGGCTAGGTCTGGCGAGGATCTTCCATGTTGCCTCCCGTGGCCGCCTCGTTGCCGCCTCGTGCGCTGGGTCGGTCCGGCGAGGTGTCGCAACGTTGCCGCCCGTTGCCGCGTCGTGGCCGGCCTCGTGCGCTTGGTGAGTCCTGCGAGGTTTCGTCACGTTGCCGCCCGTGGCCGCCTCGTGGCCGCCTCGTCCGCTGGGTGTGCCCAGCGAGGTTTCGCCTCGTTGCCGCCCGTGGCCGCGTCGTGGTCGCCTCGTGCGCTGGGTGGCACTGGAAAGGTTTCGCCACGTTGCCGCCTGTGGCCGCGTCGTGGCCGCCTCGTGCGCTGGGTGGCTCTGGAAAGGTTTCGCCACACTGCCGCCTGTGGCCGGCATGTTTCCTTTTCTAGGTAGTCGGGCCACACACCTTGCACAAAACACCTTCCGCCACAGACCGCATTGGTTACGCCACATACCTTGCACCACATAGCTTCCACCATTCAGCTGGCACCATATAGCTTGCACCGAATAGCATACACACATATTCAGTTCAATATGTTTCTTTTTGGGGCCCATGTTTTCAAACCTTTGTTTGTAGTTTTCGTGTCGGTCATCGCCGTATCTGGCATCGAACGGAAACAGTTAGAACACCAGAGAACACCATCATTCACCGTCCCGCGAGGTCCAATCAGAGAAAATCCAACCAAGGTCGATGAAACTGGGGGGCTGGATTACCCCAATTGGATAGGCCCTCCGTCTTGTGACTAAGGAGCAGACAGTGCACACCCCGCCCCAAAATGTCCACTCAGGACTGGGTCATGGGCTGCAAGACTGGTGAGGAAGTGCCTGTCCTTGTCGCTGTCCTATCCTGCCATTGGTCATCATATGCTTAGGAAGGGGAGATGCGGAAACGTCCGGCAGCCCCGTATAGAGAGATTGCCCCCTTTTGAGTTTGGTGACGACGCTAATCGACATGTGCCAGCCTGCAAGGTTCACCTGGTTGTTCCTCATCTCCGTCGTCCTTGCTGCAGGAGGAAGCAGGCAACGCACGGGACAATCGGACCATGCCCTAATCTGAATTCCCCCTATCTTGTTTGTAGTTTTGTTGGTTTTGTGTTGTTGGTGGTGTTGCTGTTGTTGTTGTTGTTGTTGTTGTTGTCGTTGTCGTTGTCGTTGTTGTTGTTATTGCTGTTGTTGTTGCTATTAAGTTCTCTCTCTCTCTTTCTCTCGATTCCCATAGATGTCTACATATACAATTGCTTTACACACATGATTACATATACAAGTACATTCACAGTGATGCACACACATACATATACATATGTATATGTGTGTACGTGTGTATATATATATTATCTATATATAGATCCCTCCCTATCTTGTCGACGTTTGCATTATCATGTCTTTCACCGCAGTCAAAGCCGTGGGCCCCATGGTTATACTCAATGCGTGTGCTTTGATATCTTCTCCACTGACCAGGCGGCGACACATCTCCACGTATAGCGTGGACATGCCGAGCGAGCGGCAGATGCGCAAAAGATGCTAGTTGGTAGCATTGTGTTGTACTGGATGTGTGTTGAGCTTATGTGTCGTATCTTTGACACGTGTCGGAGCTCCTATGGTGTGCTCGTGATTCACGGACTTGCGTCACTGGCTAAAGACCCCCTACCACAGGACAGTGTTTGGCTTTTGCTGCACGGGGCGTCTCGGGAAGCATTACATCAGCGTGTCATCAATCGCATTCCGTCGTGAAGCATTGTCTCTGCACGGTGCTGCTTATTCCGTGCCGGAGCTGACATCTGGCTAGACTTTCTCGCGACATCTTTGCAGCATCTTGCTCCTGCTCCTGCCCTCCTGCTCCACTTTGTAACGACAATACTCAGGAATCGGCCAGACAAGTTTCAGGCGGTATCGACGGAAGCACGTGAATCCCCAGACGGGGGCTGCATTTGTGTGCCCCTCTGTTGCGTGCGCGCTCTGCCTCCCTCCTCCCGCGCGGCGGCCGCCTCGCTTTGTTTTGCTCCCCATCTTGCCGAAGGTGAATTCGCGCTTTCCGTTGCCTGGACCGCTCGAGCGCGCGTACGGACTGCCTCTGCCGCGCTGCGACGTAGCAAGTGTGGCCCTTCGTGTGGGTCTTCAGTGTGCACTCCCCCTCCGCCAGCCCTGCACTTCGCACGTCAATTCGCAGGCGCTTCCCCCCCAGCCCCCGATTTGTCAACGCAAAATCAAGCCGCTCTGAGAACAAAGGAAACCCTGGGATATACCCCAATGGGGGCTATTCGGACGCACATCCCGATCGAGGGACGGACGCCTCCCCATCGTACATCCCAGGGATAGGCCGCAAATGTCTGGTCCATTCGAAGACCCGACGAAGCCTGGGACAGGGGTCGACAGATCCCCTGTTATCGATGCGACCCGAGATGCGTCCGGCCGACCAGTTGTGAGTTGTGGGGGCCTCTGGCGCGCGCTTGCCAAAAGGTGCCACCCCGCGTTGCCACCTCCCGTGTGCCCCCCACCCACCCCTCCGTGTGTGCCCCCTCCTGCGTGTCCCAGGTGTTGCGCCCCCCCGCGCGGCCCCAACGACGACAACCCCGCAGCGGCAGCGAGCATCCAGGGACGAAGCACAGTCACGCTTGGGCTCGCTCGCTCTGACATGGCAGAGCAGCCCAAGGTGATCATGGCCCAAGGTGCCACCAGCCCTTCGTGCCCTCCAGACCCCGCAGCGCTTTCTGGGCTTCGTGAGGGGTGCTCTGGAGGCCATCTGAGCATCCCTGCAGAGCCTGGGGGCCACCTCGGGCCAGGGCCGCCTGCAACCCGACGGTGCCGAGGAGAGGAGGAGCCCCGTCGGACCGGGGGCGGGAGCGACGAGCCCCGCGGGTGGGCCGGAGGGGAGGTGCTGACGTCGACGCAGCACTCCGGCGCGGTGCGTTCCCCGCCCGAGCCCCCCTACGTTGGGTGGAGGATGCTGTGGAAGAGAAGAAAGGGGGGAGGGGAGGTCGGGCGGGGCCAGGACGAGGATGAATCTGTTCCAGAGCGCTCTGGAGCGCCCTCGGCGCGTTCTGGAACGCTCTGAGAAGAAGGCCGCCGCGCCCGAGACATCCTCCAGAGCAGCCAGAACTTAGATTGGGAAGGCATAGCGGCCTGCGCCGCCGACCCTGAAGGGGGACGGCGACGACGACGACGACGCTGACGCTCGTTGGGGCTTGTGCTGAGGCCGCGGCTGGGGCCAGGGCCAGGGCCAGGCCTGGGGCAGGGCCGGGGCCAGGGCGCCAGGGCCCGGACCTGGGCTGCGACCCCCTGGGCTGGGCCGTGTCCGGGTCCGGGGCCGGGGCCGGAGCGGGGCCGGTGCCGGGGCCAGAGCGGGGCCCAGGGCGCGGGGGGAAGACGTATTTGGGCGGCGGCCCCCCAGGACCCTCCTATGACCCCCCGGGACCCCCCCCCCGCGGCGCGGGGAAGGGATCAAAGGAAAGGGGCTTCCTTTCGATTCCACTCCGACGTTGTTCAATCTTGTTTTGGACGGCGTGTATGAGGAAGATGGCTGAGGCAAGTGGAACAGAGGAGGACGGAGACGACGACTCGAGCGGAAAAGCCCGACTCGAGCGGAAAAGCCTCCTACACATGCGGATAGGGTCGGTGGATTCTCGATTTATCCTCATCCGATTTTATCCTCGTCCTGGCTTCGTCTTGGGAAGTGGGGGAGCAGAGGAACAGGGGGATGAGGAGGACTAGAGCAGGGGATGCCCCAGGGGAGAAGCGGAGGAGGAGAGGGATATGGGGATCAGGATGAGGAGGAGAGGCAGACGGAGGAGGAGAGGCAGACGGAGGAGTATGAGAGGTAGACGGAGGAGAGGGAGACGGAGGAGGAGGAGGAGGAGGAGGAAGGGAGGAGGAGGAGGAGGAGGAGGAGGAGGAGGAGGAGTGGAGATTTGTAGGGTTCGCGACATCTACGGGGAGATCCGCAATTCGTATCTTGGGCGGTTCTAGGGGTTCCAGACAAAGGTATCCTCTCTCGAGCTGTCCTTGAGAAACAAGTGGTTCGCCAACTCGACGCCACAGCTTCGTGCATGGAGGTCCCTAGTCGCGCTGCTGGCCAAGGCAGCGACATGCTTTTCTGCGGGGGAGACGGACAAGCTGTGTGACACAATCCGAGATTACCTCCGACGCTTGGACGAGCAATTGCTGCAGCCTCAGTTTACTGGGATCGCGCCTTCGATGGAGGATGCGATCGAAGCCATTCAGGCTACCGACGGTCGTGAGATCGATTTGTTCTTACCTATTGCCAGGGCCACACCCGATCACGTGATAATCAAACATTCCAGGAAGCAGTGGATCGCTGGAAGGAATGGGCGAATGACTCTGTCGCTAAGGGAGGCAAAGCTGATCACGTTGGCCCTAGGAATTAGCAGGCTATCGAGATGCAGGGTGACAAGGCTATCGAGGCTTTGATTCTGGAGCGGGGGACCTACTGGAACCAGCAGAAGTCGAGGATCACGGACACCTAGATCCAGTCAACGAGGGCCTTGGAACCTCTTGGGGGACCCAGCCCTCAGGTGGTTCAGTGGGCCCTCACTCGGTTCAAGCATGATACTGGGCTAGGAGCTGACGACCTCAATCCTCGATCATGGGTGCATCTCGGGACTGAGTATTTGGACCGCTTGGTGGACGTCATGATGTCTTGCGAGAAGGACCCCTTCGAGACCCCAGGTAAGTTCCCCACGGCTATTAGGTTCCAAAGGAAACTTGAAGGTGCTGGATTGCGCCCGCTGGCGTTGATTCTTTCGATGCTCAGGTTTTGGGGCCGGATTAGACAATGCGAGGCCAAAGCTTGGGAGACGCGTCGCCGCTCGCCATTGTTCGGGGGTTCCAGGGGCAAAGAGTGCGATAGGGCGGGCTGGCAACACTCAATGCGTATCGAATGCGCTCGGGTGAAAGGCTTTGGCTCAGGCGCTCTTTGCATGGACCGAGACAACATCTACGAGATAGTCGCTCCTAGCATATTGTGTAATGAAGCCAAGGAGGCAGCACCTGGGACTGACCATGTCGGCACTCGCGCTGTACACAGGACCCCCGGGCTACAGTGGCAAATCGGTTCTTCGATCCTTGGAATGTGATGCGGCAGGCAAGGGCTTCAGGAAGAACCCGACGGCTCGCAAGAGGCACAGGGAAGCCGCTAGGAGATGCAATATGTTCTGGAATATGAAGTCCGCGGGCGCGGTGGCCAGTAGCGTTTACAGGGCTGGGCCCCAAGCGGGAGCTCACAGCACACTGACTGCATGGACTTGGGACCTCAGCCTGTGGGGGCTTTACACAATTGAAATTTGGGGCCAGTGTTCGGCTTAAGTCTTTCGTGCAGGGCAGGAAGATTGACCCGCGCGTTCAATGCCATTACAGTTTCATTTTGCGGTGGTCCAGAGCGATATGGCATGGCACGCCGAGCTTAGATGGTATGCAACTTGTCATGGCCGCTGTTCTAGACAAGCTCAAGGGCTGCCGTTCCCCATGGTTGGTGGCCACATCGCCAGTACACGTTCTCCTCATTGCGCTCGGAGGGATCGGATGTACGCCAACTTCTGCGCGGATTTCCTACAGGAGCATGGGGAGGAAGTGGGTATCTTTGCTCTGGCGCCGCTCATGGTTCGTGAGTTGGCGGAGCGTGATGCAGGACGCAGGGCTGACACTAAAGTTCTACAACTGCAAAACAGGCTCAGCCGTGATTGGTGTCGGCCCTTGTTTTGGGATAGCGTCTCCAGGATGATGGGCGGGGCGAAATCCGCAACCGGGTATGATCACCGCCAGGCGTGCGTTCGACATGCTTTCTCCTTGGGAACCTGGACCCAATGTCGACTCTGTGACCATGGGCTCTCGAGTGACAACAGGTGCCAGATCTGCTTGGGAGTTCCAGGGTCGCCGCGCCACAAGAGGTTCGAGCGCCCCGCCTTCGACGGCCACAGGAGGGACAACCTGTCGGCCAAAGCCCGGGACGCTGCCAGGAGGATCAGGGACCTGTGCCAGGACGAGGAAAAGTTTGCCATGGGAGTTCGTGCCTGAGCCCCGCGAGGTCACCCCCAAGGCTCTGAAGGCTTATGAGTGCGCGGTGCTTTTGTCTAGCAAGTCTGACAGCGCTGAGCTTTCAGAGCTGCTTCGTCGAGCTTGATGGGCGTTCTGCATGGTTGATTCGCGGGGAGGTCTGCTCTCCGCCGCGCGTGGGGACTGGCGGCAGTGGAGCCGGCCCCCCCGCACCGAGCTAGAGACGGGGAAGATTACGCATTTCATATGCTCACGTTTTTTGCTGAAGGTGAGTCCGAGGCCTTCACTGACTGAGCGGGAGGCCTGGGGTGCGTTGTGGGCCCGACTGGTTCGATCGGCTCGAGAAATCCCAGGGCTCGCATACGGGCCAGATTCTGGCATATTGTTTTTGTTGAAGATGGGTCCGTGCAGGGAAACGCCGGGACGCGCCGCTTTTTCTGATTTTCTAGATGGCAAATCTACGCACGCGGAGCGCGCTGGCAACAAGCACGCAGATAGACTTACGAAGGAAGGTGCGGCGAAGCACCCGAGCACAGTTCGAGCACAAGGACCGATCACCGAATTACAAGCCATTCAGATCGATTTGTTGAGATGGGATGGCTTCCAGGACGTTCTGATGAGCTCCTTGAGTTGGTCGGATTCGCCCGGGTTTTCCGAGAATGTCGAGCTTCCGAACCGTGATGTCGAGACCAGGAGACGCTCCAAGAAAAGCCTGGATCCCGTCGCGGGTTTCCCCAGTTTGCTGCTTCGATGACTCAGGAGTCCCTCCCCGACGAGGGCGTGAGCGCGCGCGTGCTCAAGGAGGGTCCGGCTCTCATCGCTCTCGTGGCCCCTCCAGAGCCTGTGCGCAAGAATGCGCAAGGTCTGGGACGGGGGCGGAGCTCGGGTGGCGGGGACGGAGGTGGGTGATGCGTTGCATCAAACGCGAGGGCTACGCTCGGGCAGGGGTCGATTCGTTGTGCAGACCCTGCCCGAGTCAGCCGTCCCCGAAGGCCCTCGGGTGCCAGAAGTGGAGACCCCTTCAAGGCCTCTTCCCCAGCTGAGCCGAGCAGCACAAAGGTTGGACTGTCGGCCACCAGAGAGCGCCGGGCCCGCACGATCTCCTGGCAGTGATAAGGGCCGCCAGGCAAGGAGTGGTGACCCACAGGACGCGTTGCCACTTGACTTCCGGTTCGAGGACGCGGCTTGGGGAGAGAGCTGGGCGCCGCCATCCGCGTGTGCTCGTTCTGGTACAATTTCACCCGCAGTCCTCGCAGACCCTCGAAGGAGGGTGGCGGAGGCCTAGCCGTGTTTTGTTGTTCGGGGCGTCTGGCATAGACAGACGTTTCCAACGACAATCGACTATAATAGGAGGAGGAAGAGGAAGAGGAGGAGGAGCCGAGAAGTCAAAAGAGTGGGAATTACTTGGGTGAAAGGAACGGCGGAGGAGAGAAGAACGGGAGGAAGAGAAAACAGGTGGGAGGAAGAGTAGGAGCAGCAGGAACGGGGGATGGATGAGGATGACGAGGAGGACGAGGCGAATTAGCAATTCGAGGTCCAAGGTCATGAGGAGGAAGGGGAGCAGGAGGAAGAGGAGGAGGAGGAGGAGGAGGAGGAGAAGGAGGAGGAGGAGGAGCAGCAACGTCGGCAGGACAATAAGGACGATCAGGAGGAGCAGGAGAAGACGTGACATGGGCTGGAAGCGGCTTAGGAGACAGAAAAGGCAGAGGCAGGAGGAAACATAGGACTTGGTTGCAGTAGGAAGGAAGGGGAGGATCATATCCTCCTTTTCCCCATCCCACTCATCCTCATACTCCAATGGTGGAGAAACGGGGCCTGGAGGACGTTGAGGAAGGGAGGTGTCGGAACGATAGAGGGGTATGAAGGAGGGAGTTCCAGAGAGGAGCAAAGGCAGAAGGGGTAAGTCCATAAGCAGAATGGGGTGGAGAGGGGGAACGACAACAGTCAATATGATAATAATCAGGACGAGTAATCGGCGGCAGTGCCAAAAACTTAGCCTGGCGAAGGACCAAACCATATGCAGTTGTGAGTAATGCAGTCGTGAACATCATCTTCGGTGGAGCTCCCTATGGGGCCACGAAGCGTGGGGGGATGTGCCGAAATGGGGCGGCGGCGCCATGCGGACCCTGCCACTGCGGCCTTCGGTGGAGCTCCCCATGAGGCCACGAACCGTGTGCGGGGTGTGCCGAAATGGGGCGGCGGCGCCATGCGGACCCTACCACTAGTGCGTTCGGTGGGGCTCCTTTTGGGGCCACGAACCGTGTAAGGGGTGTGCCGAAATCGGGCGGCGGCGCCACGCGGACCCTGCCACTGGGGCCTTCGGTGGATCTCCCTATGGGCGTGCCGGCATGCGGCGCCGGCGCCATGCGGACCCTGACACAGGGGTCTTCAGTGGAGCTCCCTATGGGGCCACGAACCGTGCGAGGGGTGTGCGGAAATGGGGCGGCGGCGCCATGTGCATCCTGCCACTGGTGCCTTCGGTGGGGCTCCCCATGGGGCCACGAGCCGTGTGAGGGGTGAGCCGAAATGGGGCGGCGGCGCCATGCGGACCCTGCCACTGGGGCCTTCGGTGGGGCTCCCCATGGGGCCACGAGCCGTGTGAGGGGTGTGCCAAAATCGGGCGGCGGCGCGCCAGGCGCACCCTGCCACTGGGGCCTCTCCCTATGGGGCCACGAACCGTGAGAGAGGTGTGCCGACATGGGGCGGCGGCGCCATGCAAACCCTGCCACTGGGGCCGTGGAGCTCCCCATGGGGCCACGAATCGTGTGAGGGATGTGCCGAACTGGACATTTTCAGAACAAAGGCATGGATGGGAGGAGAGGCACAGATGGGAGACGAGGGGGGAGGGGGCAGCAGGAGGAGTGACGCGGGGCGCTGTCTCTTCAAAAGGAGGACCCAACACCACAGGATGGTTGGGAAAAAGAGGTTGAGGATCAGGGCCAGGATGACTGCCAGGTGGAGGTGCGAATGCGGAGGGGGAGGAGGAGGAGGAGGAGGAGGAGGAGGAGGAGGAGGAGGAGGAGGAGAAGGAGGAGGAGGAGGAGGAGGAGGAGGATAGGTAGGACGGTGCCCGCCACGGCCTACCCTCCCAGTAGGTGCGGGCACCTGGATGCGGAGCAATTTGATCAGGGGGAGAGCGCAGGGGAGTAGGATAGGGAGTTGGAGATGCAGGCGTAAGTCAAGGAAGCCGAGGTGTCGGAGGAGGTTGAGGAGGGACGATGGGGAGCCCGTGCTGCTGCTCAATGATATGACGTTTTTTGCGCGTCGACGCTGATTGGGCGTCGGAAGATGGGGGCGACGAGGACGAGGAAGTTTGGCGAAGGGGATGAACTCGAGATGGATGAGGACGGCGACGACTTGCACGAGGAGGACGGCGAACACCCTTGCTGCCCAGCGAGCTCCAGGGAGGCGTCCGTACCCGAGTGTTCCTCGCGATTGGCTGAATCGTCCTTGGTTTGATCACGACTTGCCTTGCCCCCTATCAAACGTGAGATTGAGCACGCCCCATTGATAACAGCTTGCGCACCGTAATCTGCGATTTCCCCGATCATGCAGCGCCGTCATGCCCAGACAGCAAAGTTGCCAGCATCGTTTGTGTTCAGTCAAGCTCGCCTCGGCTACCATAAGAGCGTTCCCTACTGTCGTCATGCGTTATGCTTTCTCATCCTCTCTCACATGTGTTCCCTCACGTTTGTTCTCAACCATCCTGTGGTGTTGGGTCGTCGTTTTGAAGAGACGGTCCCCGCGTTCCCTCCTTCTTTCCTCCCCTCCCACCTCCTCCTCCCCCCTCCCTGCGGTTCACCCACCCAGTACAGCGTTTAGTGGCCCCGTAGGAGCTCCACCGAAGGCCCTAGTGGCAGGGGTCGCATGGCGGCCTCGGGCCATTTCGGCACACCCCTCACAAGGACCGTGGCCTCATAGGAGCTCCACCGAAGGCGCCAGTGGCAGAGTTCGCATGGCGGCCTCGGGCCACTTCGGCACACCCCTCACGAGGATCGGGGCCCCATGGGGAGCTCCACCGAAGGCGCCAGTGGCAGGGTTCGCGTGGCGGCCTCGGGCCATTTCGGCACACCCCTAACGGGGATCGGGGCCCCATATGGAGCTTCACCGAAGGCGCCAGTGGCAGCCTCCCTCATGGCTCTCAGAGCCCTCTCCTGCTTCTGCTCCTCGGTCAGGGGGTACGCCGTCCTCGTCGTCGTCGGCGCCCGCGAAGACGGCCACGAACGTGCTCCTGAGCATGTCGGGCTCCGGCGGGAAGCCGTGGCCACATAAGGAGCGCGGGCGAAGATGGTATTCACAATTGCGGTATTCACAACTTCGGATGGTTGGGTCCTTCGCCAGGCTAATTTTCTGTCTCTCTCTCTTTCTCTCTCCTGACCGCCTTCTCGCAGAGAAGGAAGGAGGGAAGGACGAACAGGCAGGCGCCATGGGGGATGAAGGAAACGCAGTCGTAAGGAGGAGGCGGGAGAGAATGAAGGGAAGAAGGAGGGGGCGTAGGAGGAGGAGGGGAGATGAGGGAGGGAGGAAGGAGGAGGAGAAGGCCAAGCCAAAGAAGAGAAGAAGAGGAAGAGGAGGAGGAGGAGGAGGAGGGGGATCAGGCCGAGGAAGAGGAGAAGGAGGACGACGACAGCGACAACAGTGGCCACGCGTGCTCATCCGCCTGGACGCTGAGGGAAGAGGAGGGAGGAGGAGGAAGAGGAGGATGAAGAGGAGGAAGAGGAAATGAAGAAGAAGCAGTCGGGGGTGGAGAGGACCCTCCTCCCGCTCCCCCCCCCCTCCTCCACAATTACACAATCTGAATAAGACTTTCCTCTCTCCCCTGATGGTTCCCTACCTAGGCTCTGCCTAGAAGGGTTTTCTTACTCTCTGAGCCCGGGCGGTTCCCCCGGTCCCCGCCCCGCGGTTCCCCCAGTTGCGCCCCCTGGGCTCACCCAGCTTAGCTTAGCTAAGTTAAGCTTAGCTTAGCTTAGCATAGCTTATCTCATCTTAGCTTAGCTTAGCTTTGCCTAGCCTAGCTAAGCTTAGCTTAGCTAATCTTAGCTTAGCTTAGCTTAGCCCAGCTTAGCTTAGCTTATATCATCTTAGCTTAGCTTAGCTTAGCCTAGCTTAGCTTGGCTTGGCTTAGCTTAGCTTTGCTTAGCCTAGCTTAGCTTAGCTTAGCTTAACTTAGCTTAGCTTAGCATAGCTTACCTTACCTTAGCTTAGCTTAGCGCAGCTCAGCATAGCGCAGCGCAACATTAGCACATCATAGCATCGCATAGCATAGCCAAACATAGCATGTTACAGCATAGCTCATCATAGCATATCATAGCATAGCATAGTATAGCATAGCATAGCATAGCGCAGCATATCATATCACACCATAGCATAGCACAGCGCAGCATAGCATAGCATAGCATAGCATAGCAGCAATAGCAAAAGCAAAGGCAATGCAATCAAAAGCAACACCAATGCGAACGTGTAGATGTAGGTGTATATGTAGATGTAGGTGTATATGTATATGTAGATGTAGATGTAGATGTAGATGTAGATGTAGATGTAGATGTAGATGTAGGTGTAGATGTAGATGTACATGTGAGTCTCGCTGTTGATGTTGATGTAGATGCAGGTGTAGATGTGAATGTAGCTGTCGGTGTAGATGTAGATGTTGCTTTCCGAAATGCTCCAACTCCTAGGTAGGGTCGCACTGGGATAATGTTCGCTGGTTTTGTTTCCAAAATGTTGCTCCCGCTGCAGCGCTGGCCTCATTTTCGGGCTTCGCTCGTTCCGCATCGTGCTCCCGCTGCAGCGCTGGCATCACTTCCGCTCGTGCTCCCGCTGCAGCGCCGGCCTCATTGCCGCGGTTCCGCTCGTCCCGGATCTTGCTCCCGCTGCCGTGCCGTGCTGGCGTCATTATGTACAATGCCATGCCACGACATGGTTTTCGGTCCGTCCAAGCAGGCCCCAACATCTAGAAAATGGCCTCCCGAAAAAACCATCGGAAGTGATCCCACATTCGGCGTCGATTCGTTGATTTTTGGGGTCGCAGAAGCCCCCCACCTTGGGGCGTCGCCGCGCTATGCTACGTCATGCTACGCGTTGAGCTTCAACACCATGCTATGCCGTGTAATGCTACGCCATGCTGCGACATCCGTTTGTGCGAATAGAGAGGAGATCACGCCATGGGAAGGGATGGGAGGCAGGGACAGGACGTCAGATATGACGCGAGCGCACCTTGCTTGCCCCTCATCCCTATCCCTATCCCCGCTCCTCTCCACCGCCACCAGCCACATCTCGAGGCCAGGGCCCTCGCAGTTCCGAGGGACGACTGGGGGGAGGACGCGCGCGATCCCTCCGCGTGTCCTGGCCTGGCGGCGGGGGGCCGCCTCCGGCCAGGACCACAGCCCAGCATGGTCCCGGCAACGTCCCCCTCTTTTTCTCCCTTTCGGGCGGGTGCCAAGGGGGCGGGTGACTTAATTGGAGGGTGACGTAAGAGCCTCAGTTGAAGTCATATGGGGTTCCAAACGGGGCCTTGAAGGGCCCTTTTAGGGCCCCCTTCTTCACCCCCCATGTAGGTTCCCCCCCCCTTAAACACCCGCCCGACCCTTGAGTGGGCACGGCAAGAATTAGCCCAAAGACCGACAGCGCTTCATGTTCATTTTGGACAGGACTCGCTGCTGGTGTTGCCGCGGACGTGGCCCACCCGAGACAGAAGGCCGCCTGCCCAACAGCGGCCGCTGTTGGTTTTGGGCAGTAACCAGCGCTTGGTATTGTATTTTGTTTGTCCGTGCCAATTCTGGCGTCCAGATTCCCCCCCCCTTGCCCCAGACCGCAAGGTGCTCGACCGCCTGGCCGGCTTCTGCTCCCCGCCGTCCGCCCCGGCCGCCCGGGCCGCGGGCCACGCGCTCGCCGTCCACCTCGCGCTGCGGTGCGCGAAGCTGTTGGAGAGCCGCCTCTTGACGGCGACCGGCGGCGGCGGCGGCGGCGAAGAGCGGGAGCGCCTCGCCGAGGCACGCTGGGATAGGGAACCGTAGATAGATAAATAACCCAGGCGAACGACCCAACCATCTGCAGTTTTGAATGCCGCAATTGTAAAAACCATCTTCGCCCGCGCTCCCTGTGGCCACAGCTTCCCGCCGGAGCCCGACATGCTCAGGGACGCGATCGTGGCCGTCTTCGCGGGCGCCGAGCGTCCCTCTGACCGTGGAGCAGAAGCAGGAGAGGGCTCTGAGAGCCATGGGAGAGGAGGTGGCGTTGCACGTCGACAAGGCGGAGTACCACGCCCAGGAGCGGTTGTTGAAGCAGCACAACTATGGGGCCACGATCCTCGTGAGTGGTGTGCCGAAGTGACCCGAGGCCGCCATGCGAACCCTGCCACCGGCGCCTTCGGTGGAGCTCCCCATGGGGCCACGATCCCCGTGAGGTGTGTGCCCAAATGGTCCGAGGCTGGCATGCGAACCTTGCTACTCGAGCCTTCGGTGGAGCTCCCATGGAAAAACGATCCTCGCGAGGGATGTGCCGAAGTGGCCCGAGGCCGCCATGCGAACCCTGCCATTGGCGCCTTGGTGGGACTCCTTATGGGGCCACGATCCTGGTGAGGGGTGTGCCGAAATGGCCCGAGGCCGCCATGCGAACCCTGCCCCTGGTGCCTTCGGCGGAGCTCCCCATGGAGCCACGATCCTCGTGAGGGGTGTGCCGACATGGCCCGAGGCCGCCATGCGAACCCTGTGTGCCGACATGGCCCGAGGTCGCCATGAAAAACTTTGCCGCTGACGCATCATCCTCGCGAGGGGTGTGCCGAAATGGCCCGGGGCCGCCGTGCAAACCCTGCCACTCGCGCCTTGAGTGGGGCTCCTAATTATGGAGCCACGATCGTCGTGAGGAGTGTTTCGAAATGGCCCGAGGCCGCCATGCGAACCTTGCTGCTGGCGCCTTCTGTGGCTCCGTATGGGGCCACGATCCTCGTGGGGGGTGCGCCGAAACAGGCCCGAGGCCCCCATGCAAACTTTGCCATTGGGGCCTTTGTGGACCTCGTATGGAGCCACGATCCTCGTGAGGGGTGTGCCGACATGGCCCGAGGCCGTCATGCGAACCCTGCCCATGGTGCCTTCGGTGGAGCTCCCATGGAACCACGATCCTCGTGAGGGGTGTGCCGACGTGGCCCGAGGCCGCCATGCAAACCCTGCCATTGGCGCCTTGGTGGAACTTTTTATGGAGCCACGATCTCGTGGGGGGTGTGCCGAAATGGCCCAGGGCCGATCCCTGCCCCTGACGCCTTCGGTGGAACTCCGTTGGGGCCACGATCCTTGTGAGGGGTGTTCCGAAATGGCCCGAGGCCACCACGCGAACTCTCCCATTGGGACGTTCGGTGGAGCTCCTTTTGAGCCACGATCGTAGTGAGGGGTGTGCCGAAATCGCCAAAGGCCGCCATGCGAACCCTGCCACTGGGACGTTCGGTGGAGCTCCTATGGGGCCACGATCGTCGTGAAGGGTGTGCCGAAATTGCCAACAACCGCCATGCGATCCCTGCCACTGGGGCCTCCGGTGGAGCTCCGTTGGGGCCACGAAGCGTTGTACTGGGTGGGTGAAACGAATGGAGGAGGGGGAGGAGGAGGGACGAGGGGGAAGGGGAGGAAGAAAGGAGGGAGGAGGAACGCTGGGACCGTCTCTTCAAAATGAGGACCCAACACCACAGGACTGTTGGGAACCATGCAGAAAGCTGCGATTATACCTCTTATGTTAAACATGTAGCTCTCGCCCGGGACATCCTCGAAAAACGGGGATGTCCAGTGAACGTGCGAATTCGTCGTATTCCAAAAAATGAAGCTCCCGCCTGAGACATCCCCCAAACCATGCGATGTGCAATAAGCTGTCTTACGACATTTTTGGGATACGTTATTTGGGGGAATTCAAGACGGCCCAAGAGGGGATATCTGTATAAATGATGATGTTGATGGGAGAGGGGAGGGGGGAGATGAGGGAGGAGGGGGAGGAGGAGGAGGAGGACGAGGAGGAGGAGGAGGAGGAGGAGTGAGTGAGTGAGTGAGTGAGCGAGCGAGTGAGTGAGTGAGTGAGTGAGTGAGTGAGTGGGTGGGACGCGGGGCGCTGTCTCTTCAGAACGAGGGCCCAACACCACAGGATGGTCCTTATGGTGCCACGAACCGCGTGATGGGTGTGCCGAAATGCGCCGAGGCCGCCATGCGAACCCTGCTAGTGGCGCCGTCGGTGGAGCTTCCCACGGGGCCACGAGACGTGTGAGGGATGCGCCGAAATGGGCCGGGGCCGCCATGCGAACCTTGCCACTGGCGCTTTCGATAGAGCTCCCTACGGGGCCACGTTGGGCATTGGCTCGAGCTCCTTCTGGGGCCACGAAACGTGTGAAAGGTGTGTCGAAATGTGTCGAAATGGGCCGGGGCCGCCATGCGAACTTTCCCCCTGGGGCCTCCTTAGGTGGAGCTCCCTATGGGGCCACGAAACGTGTGAGGGGTGTGCCGAAATGGGGCGAGGCCGCCATGCATTCTTTCCCTCTGGGGCATTAGGTGGAGCTCCCTATGGGGCCACGAAACGTGTGAGGGGTATGCCGAAATGGGGCGAGGCCGCCATGCAACCTTTCCCTCTGGGGCCTTAGGCGGAGCTCCCCATGGGGCTACGAAGCGTGTGAGGGTTGTGCCGAAATGGGGCGAGGCCGCCATGCATTCTTTCCCTCTGGGGCATTAGGTGGAGCTCCCTATGGGGCCACGAAACGTGTGAGGGGTATGCCGAAATGGGGCGAGGCCGCCATGCAACCTTTCCCTCTGGGGCCTTAGGCGGAGCTCCCCATGGGGCTACGAAGCGTGTCGAGGGTTGTGCCGAAATGGGGCGGGGCTGGCAGCGCGGATGCTCAGGATGACTATGAACAGAGGTGATGATGACGATGATGATGATGATGATGATGATGATGATGCTGATGATGCTGCTGATGATGATGATGATGATGATGCTGATGCTGATGCTGATGCTGATGCTGATGATGATGCTGCTGCTGATGATGATGCTGATGATGATGATGATGTGATGATGATGATGATGATGATGATGATGATGAGATGATGATGATGGATGATGATGGAGGAAGGGAGGAGGGGGGGGAGGAGGAGGAGGAGGAGGAGGAGGAGGGAGGAGGAGGAGGAGGAGGAGGAGGAGGAGAGGAGGAGGAGTGACTGTGTGAGTGGGTGGGACGCGGGGCGCTGTCTCTTCAAAACGCGGACCCAACACCGCAGGACGGTTGAGAAAAAGTGGAACCTCTGGCTCCGCTCGCCGCTCCCCCCGTTCTCCCTCTCAATTCCAAGCGGACAGAAAACGAAAAAGTGGACCCCCCTGGGCCTCCAGCAAGCCGGACGCCAATTGTGAGTCTGGAGGGAAGGGGGGTGGGGGGGCGAGCGTGGTGTTGAAAACGACGGGGTTCCATTCTTCTGGTCCCTCTGCTGGAGCGCCTCGCCGAGGCACGCGGGGAGAGGGGAGGATCGGGGGGGCAGGGGGAGAGGCGCGTCTTCTGGACGTCTTTGGCGAAGGCGCCCAAGCCGTGGTCCACGGCTTGGCGGCCCACGGGTCTCTCGCCTCGCCGCGGACAGACCTAACCGCCGCGCCCGAAACGTTGCCAAAGTTTGCCCCGGGAGCTCAGCACAGGCTTGGCGGCCGCCCAAGGCAGAACTGCGAGCAGATCACTGGCCACTCTGCTGCTGGAGGCATGGGGCGGAGGAGGAGGAGGAGGAGTGTCTCTCGTATTCCGTCTTTGAGCGGGGCTCGAAGGACCAAGATGCACGGGCATGTCGCCAACCGCCAGTACAGTCGTGCACCTCAGCATGTGTACATATATATATATATAGGAACCACAAAAAGAGTGATAGCATATAGTGCGCGCCGAGTCTTTGACATTCCAAATGCCCCAGATGGGAAAAGGAAAGCAAACGTTCACCCTCTGGGAGAGTCGAGCCGGACGAAAGGGCGGGATAGTGAAAGGGGGGGTACGAAATTTGCTGCATGCGGCTGCTGTCGGCCCCGCCGCCAGGCCCATCCCTCGATACCTGGGCGCCTCCCCACGCCAGGAGGCGCCAGGGAAACCGGCTCCGTGAGCCGATTCCCTGCCCCGCCCTCTGCTGTCCTGCCCCTCCGTGCCCCCCGAGAGAGGCCGACTCGTGCCGCTCCCAGGGCACGGGGCCTGGGAGCCTGGCCGCCGAGCGGGCGGCTGGAGCGGGCCCGGTCTCCCCCCTGCGTTTTGTCGGCAGCGCGCCTCGGTGCCGCCGCGCCGTCGGAGGGCCCCGGCGGGGCACGCCCAGGGGGTGGGTCGGGGTGCAGGGAGGGCGGCGGGAGGAGGGTGGTCTTCGGTGGCACGCCAGGTCTGCGAAGCAGGCATGTAGCAAGCAGGGTCGTGGCTAGCAGTGCATGGTGAGGGGAAGCATCAACGCAGCGAGCACCCGATTCGGAACCATTTTGGCCCATGAGCCGCCTCGCGCGGCGTGCGTCGCAGCCACCGCACCTTTAGCCTTGACCCTGAGAAACAAAAAATCAATGTATTTGGGATGGGAAGAGACGGGAAAGTGGGAGGAAGGGATCAGGAGCAAGAGAAGGACGTACGCGTGCACGAATCCATGTTGGTTTCGTCAGTATGCGCTGCGCGAACGGTCGTATCACGAGGCTGGTCTCGCGGATTGGGGGGCCATGTTCACGTACGTGGTTGGGCGCGTACGTCCTTTTGTGGGCTCCCCAAGGGAGCGAGCGGTTGAGGGCCGCTCAGGCCTACGCCGACAGTCCGGTCCAGGCTCCATTCCTGCACGGTGGTCGGAACTTGGCCCACTTGGTAGCCGCCCTGATCCTCTTCCGCCGCGCAGCGCTCTCGCAGCGATCCCTCCACGGTGCCCCGCGACGCGCCCCCGCGGGCGCTTGCAGCTAGCGCCGAGGGCTACACACGCGCCAGTGTGCAGTTGTTCCGATGAGGGGAAGGTAGGAGGAGGTCCCTGTGGGGTTAAGCGGCGGGCCCGCTCAAGGGATGATGATGCGCTTCTGGTTGACTTTGTACCTTGCGTCACACGCGGCGCACCTTGTCTGTATCGCAGTAGGCGAAGTATGGTAGTAGTCGGTAGTGCTCGACATACCTCTTCTGTGGCTTGTAAGCGATGTAGCAGGGTAGCCTCCGGATCGACACCAGAAACATATGTGTTTACGTAGTCGTACCCAGGGTACTCCTTCTTGTAACTCAGGGCCCATCGTCACCATGGGAACGCTTCGTATCGCCGCGGATGGAGTCAGTGGGTCCATGCCTGTTGTGTGGTGCCACTGGGGGCCGTAGACCGTTCTCGTTGTTGTCGTCGTCAGCAGAGCTTCTCCTGATGAGTTGATGCAGTACTTCGTGCCGCCAGTGAGGGTCGGCTGGTTGGTCCATGTAGTACACCCTCGAATGCGTGAAGTCCTCGACGGAGTAGTTGGTGTATTCGCCCAGGGGGTACATTCTCTTGGCGAAGGCCTTCCTGAGTGAGGCGATGGGAGGCATGTTGTACGAGTGTCCAACGTCACGTAGCTTTCACTGTCCTGTGCGAAAGTAGTACGGACATCGCAGCGCCGTAGGCCAGGGTGGCGTCTCCGCGATATTGTAGTTACGCGTAGGCATCCAGTAGCTGTTGTTCGGAGGTGTCGACACGTCCTGCCCGCAGTGCGGATCCTCGAGCTTGTCGTTAGGATAGACGTTCGTTGTACATTCTCACATTTGGCCTTGTAGATGCCCATTCTCTTATCGGGCATGCACTTGTAGTCGTTCGTAAGGGCGGCTTTGACGTCCATAACAGTTAGATACAACTTGCCACGAGTTCCTTTTGCAGTGCTACCGATGAGTTGTACCAATGTGTTGTTGTAGCTGAGGTCCCGTAGCCAGATGCCCGTCTCGGCGCAGGCACACTGTTCCGTATCGTGCCCACATAGTCTCGAGACGGGATGACAGTCCAGCTTTGTTGGTTGCCATCGTGGATGACGGGATCCGTAGTACTCTCCACTCGTTTAAATTAGATATCATATTGCGACCTATTTTTGCCGAGATCTATTTTCACCGAGTCTAGTTTTACCGAGCCCGGACTCGAATACTAAACACAACGTTCTGTATGTCTGGGGTCAGACCCGGGTCAGTCCGAGGTCACTCCAGGGTCCGAAGTTGGTCCGGGGTCAGTTAGGGGTAGGTCGGTCCGGGGTCAGTCCTTGGTCGGTCCGGGGTCAGTCCGGGGTCAGTCCGGGGTCAGTCCGGGGTCAGTCCGGGGTCAGTCCGGGGTCAGTCCGGGGTCAGTCCGGGGTCAGTCCGGGGTCAGTCGGGGTCAGTCCGGGGTCAGTCCGGGGTCAGTCCGGGGTCCGGGGTCAGTCCGGGGTCAGTCCGGGGTCAGTCCGGGGTCAGTCGGGTCAGTCAGTCCGGGGTCAGTCCGGGGTCAGTCCGGGGTCAGTCCAGTCCAGTCGGGGTCAGTCCGGGGTCAGTCCGGGGTCAGTCCGGGGTCAGTCCGGGGTCAGTCCGGGTCAGTCCGGGGTCAGTCAGTGGGGTCAGTCGGGGTCAGTCCGGGGTCAGTCCGGGGTCAGTCCGGGGTCAGTCTGGGGGTCAGTCCGGGGTCAGTCCGGGTCAGTCCGGGGTCAGTCCGGGGTCAGTCCGGGGTCAGTCCGGGTTAGTTCCAGGTCAGTCCCGGTCGGTCGGGGTCGGTCGGGGGTCGGTCCGGGGTCGGTCCGGGGTCGGTCCGGGGTCGGTCCGGGGTCAGTCCGGGGTCAGTCCGGGGTCAGTCCGGGGTCAGTCCGGGGTCAGTTCGGGGTCAGTCCGGGGTCAGTCCGGGGTCAGTCCGGGGTCAGTCAGTCCGGGGTCAGTCCGGGGTCAGTCCGGGGTCAGTCCGGGGCCAGTCCGGGCCAGTCCGGGGTCAGTCCGGGGTCAGTCCGGGGTCAGTCCGGGGTCAGTCCGGGCCAAGTCCGGGGTCAGTCCGGGGTCAGTCCGGGGTCAGTCCGGGGTCAGTCCGGGGTCAGTCCGGGGTCAGTCCGGGGTCAGGCCGGGGTCAGTCCGGGGTCAGTCCGGGGTCAGTCCGGGGTCAGTCCGGGGTCAGTCCGGGGTCAGTCCGGGGTCAGTCCGGGGTCAGTCCGGGGTCAGTCCGTCCCGGGTCAGTCCGGGGTCGGTCCGGGGTCGGTCCGGGGTCAGTCCGGGGTCTGTCCGGGGTCAGTCCGGGGTCAGTCCGGGGTCAGTCCGGGGTCAGTCCGGGGTCAGTCCGGGCTCCGTGCGGGGTCCGTATGGGCCGGGGTCAGTCCGGGGTTGGTCCAGGGTCGGATCCGGGGTTTGCCTGAGGTCTGTCCAGGGTCGGTCCGGGGTCAGTCTGGGGCCAGCCTGGGTCAGTCCCGGAGTGACCTGCAGGATTGACCGTGCAGACCGACCCTTGAATGACCCGTGTGTATATGGAGCCTGGTCGGATCGAATTCGACGCAGCCGAGCCGACCGCCACATTAGGTGCACGCGTATGTGGGAGCGCCCGAATGGCAAGGAGAGCGGAGAGTATTTTAATGCATGGGAAATGAAAATGCAAGCGGGCCGATCTAGTTTTCGGAATTGCAGAAGTCGGGGACCGAAACTTCCGATCTAGTTTAGCCGAGACCTAATTTCACCGATTCTATTTTTAACGAGCGGAGTGTAGCTGTGAGTTCGAGCCGATGTAGTTGCGGGGATGGTGGAATGATGATGGGTAGCTGGGCACCACCTGTGTATACAGACCTGGGATCTGTCAGAAATTCGTTGGGGTGGCTGATTTGCATTGCTGCTTGCTGCTTGGTGGCTGACTTGCTGACAACGCTGTATCCATGAACTTGAGCTCGTACGGCGACACGGTGTTGTCCTTGTTGTAGGCTCCAGCTGGTAAGTATATACTCTCCATCAGCGAAGCGCGACCTGAGGAAGTATTGAATGTCCGTGTTCTCGAAAGGGTTGTAGTGCAGCTTGTCCGTCGAGTACAGCCTGGGGCCCTCAAGCGTGTAGTCGTAAATGACCAGCTGCTCGAGGTATTTCTCTGGGTAATCGTAGACCTTGTCGCTGATCACCTTCTGCAGCACTTCTTTCATGGTGCCAGCGGTCATGTCGCTCGTCGTGCTCATGGGTACTTGGATGGTATCGTCAATGGCCTCGTTGTAGACCAGGATGTTGACAAGCTCAGGCCAAGGGTCCACCGTGAGGTAGAGGTACCCTGTGTGGAGTACGAGGAACGTGCGCCTGAGCGAAGTAAGAGGATACTTCGCGTCGTGTGTGGCGCCCGGCTTCTGGTCGATGGTGTAGGGCCCCTCGATGTAGCCCCGTCCCATTAGCATGTGTTGAGCAATTTGTCGTTGTACCTCTTGATGTAGTGGCGTACGGCGTGCTCGATGCCGGAAACCTTGAAGCAGATTTGTTCGGTAGTGGGCTTAATTTCGAAAGGGGTGTTGCAATATTTGGTGAGGAGTTTTACCCATGTGTTGTCTCCCGGTGATAACGAGTCGTGAATTCCGACCTTCATGCAGAGCGCGTCGGTGCTAGTGTCGCGGGAGACATATTTGGTGTGATTGCGATCGCCATATTTGCCCTTGCGATACTAGTCGCCTCGCGGTTGTCATGTGGTATCTTGTAGTCCTCCTTATTCACGTATTTGGTGCTAGAGTTGGTGGGCTGGGATGGTAAGCAGTGATGGTGATGATGATTGGTCGGCTCGATTGGTTCAAAAAGGCGTCGGTTGCGGTCCTCGAATACGGCATTGCCGAACGTGTTCGAGCGGCTCGGTATTTGCCAAATCCCTCCAGTATTCGTTCCATTTGTTTTTATCCGATCTGTGCGGCGTAGGTGCTGCAAACCTGGGTGTGGGTGTCGGATATTCTCGGCTCCCTGGCGAGACGTGTGTTGTTTGATGCGTGTCTGCGTCCGTAATGCCAGGCTCCGTGTTTGAGGTAGGTTCTTCATGCTTTCGTAATTGTTCGGTGGTTCAACGTTGGTAGTAGATGTCGCTCGCAATGTTCCTTCCTGCGAAATCCGGTTGTGGATGCCGATTTTGGTCCATTGATATGTAAAGTTGGTTGCGTTGTTTGTGGACGTCTGTGGGATTCGGCGTTGGTTGAAGCAGCACTGGCCAGGCGTCCTTGTCGATACGTCCCATGACATTGCATAGTTTCGGAGGGTATTGTTTGAGCGGTGACGTGCGGACATTGCATTCAGCTCTGTCGTAGTCCAGAGCCGCGATCTGTCCCCCAATATGGTTAGAGCGGCCGAAGTTGGCGATCTGGCTACATGTTGTTCTTGCCTTGGGCAGGGGGATGCACAGCAACATAGTACCTACTCCTCTTCCTTGTCCTCCTCCTCTGTTCGCTGCCTCACCCATCTTCCTCGTCCTCTTGCTCCTCCCCGCCCGGCCGTCTCCTCTTGCGTTGTTCCTCCTCCAGCGCGTCATCTGTTTCCTCCTCCGCCTGCCCCTCCTGTTTCCCCTTCGTATCATCCTCCCCAGTGCCTTGCCCTCCTGCATTGCATCACCCCCCCCTTTTAAGCAGCATCAGCGGTCCTGTGGTATAGAATACCGTTGCCGTGGATACGACCTGTGCGCGATTTCTGGCTCATGCGCTCCCTCCGGTTCCCCGACGTCACGCTGCGCAGCATGCTGACAACCGAAGTTCGACGCGGGACCCTCCTCTCCCTGCCTCTCCCCTGGAGCTTATTCTGGCTCAAGGGCTTGTGACGTGACGGCCAGGCGCCCCCCCCAACAGTCGGCGGCGAGCGAGGAGGGGACGTGAGAAGGAGAAGGCCTTCTCAGAAGGCGGCGGGGCTTCCCAGAAGCCCTCGTGCCTTCAGACAAGTCTTCTGTGTCCTCGGAGAAGGCGTAAAGATTGCCTCAGAAGGCCGGGGGGAACTGCCGAGCCTTCTGAGAAGGCCCGCCCCTTCTCACGTCCCCCCTCCTCGCTCGCCGCCGGAGCACGCCGCGCGCGCCGTCCACAGGCCGCCAGGGATGGCCCCCGAGCCCACCACGCTCAGCATCACCAGCACGCAGGCATCGACGGCGCGCAGCTGGGGCGCGTGGCGGTGGGGAGCGGCCTTCGGCGACGCCTAGGAGGAGGAGGAGGATGAAGAGGAGGAGGAGGAGGAGGAGGAGGAGGAGGAGGAGGAGGAGGACGACGACGAGGACGACGAGGACGATGAAAGACGACGAGGACGAGGGCGAGGAGGAGGACGAGGAGGAGGACGAGGAGGAGGAGGAGGAGGAGGAGGAGGAGGAGGAGGACGTCTTGAGAGGCTCTCGTGGAGCCCCTTTTCCATTTGGGGGCGACCGGGCGACCCCCCCTCCGAGACGCCTTCGCAGGAGGCCGCGCCCTCGAGCCGTGCCGCCCCCTTCAGTGCGCGCCGCCAGAGGTCAAGGCAGTGTGGGAGGCCGTGCAGGGCTACACCCTCCGAGGGGTGCGCCCTACCTGCTGTTCGAGCAGTCGGTCGAGGACGCGTACGCGCACGTCAGGGAGATGGAGCAGCAGCAGGCGAAGGCCCCGAAGGGGTCGGAGGTCGCCGAGGCGCGGTCGCAGCGGGACGGCGCCCAGCCCCAGGATCGAGTGAGAGATGCAAGCATGTCAATTAGCGGAAACGTGCAGCAGCGACAGCGGCAGCGGCAGCGGCAGTGGCAGCGGCGGTAGCAGCAGCAGCAGCAGCAGCAGCAGCAGCAGCAGCAGCAACAGCAGCAGCAACAGCAGCAGCAGCAGCACAGGTGGTACAGTTTTGCGACGCGGGCGCAAGTCGGGGAGGGAGTGGCCCGAAGTTGTCCCCAGCTCTTCCTCTCTCAAGTCTGGCTCCACTCTGGGACGATTTGATGGTCAGAAGCAGGTCAGCCTTGCCAAAAACGCATGCCACCCACAAGGGCGCGAAGATAATCGCGCCTCGCGGACTGGGCAAGAGGGGCGTCCTTGTCCATGGGATGCCGCGCGGGGGTCGTTACGCGCGGCACGCACGCAGAGGCTAGGTGACCTAGAGAGCGCACGCCCGACAGCAGGCACATCGGATAAGGAGCTGGCCTGCAAGCAGATGCCTCTGATGTTCGCCATCTTGAGCTGGCTTGAGCTCGCCTGCGTTGTTTTCCGCCCCACCTCGTCATGTGGTTCTTGTCATTCCTGCTGCCTCCCAAGGCCTCTCCTTTCGACTTCTCCCTTGCAGTCAAAGTCAGAGAAGCAAGAGGTCATGATAATGATGCGTTCCAAGATTTCCAAGAATTCCCGATGCCCCGCAGAGGCTGCAGAGACGGCGGCCGCTCCAGCATCCCTGGAGCGTGCCCTGCGCCAGTCGCATCATGGCACCGTCCTCGTCCTGCAGTGACCTCTCTCTCTCGCTCTCCGTCGCCCGCACCAGCCTGCTCCCCTGCAGGGAGCGCGCGCCTCGCCGCCCAGGACCTGAGGAAGATGCCCCCGCCGCCCGGGCGTGCCACGGCCGGGGCGTGGGCCGCGGGCCCGCCGCTGAGCGGGTGGGCCTCGCTGGCGGCCGGCGGCGGCGCGGCGCCGCTGGCCCGCGTGGCGTGCGCCGGCTGCGAGCGCGAGGGCACGCGGACCATGGTGCCTTAGGGGGGGGGGGCGCTGGGGGGGGCGCTCGCGGCAGGCCCGTCTCGTGCGAGTGAGAGTTTTCTCCAGATTCCAGGGGGCCCCTCTCGGAGCTCCCCCCCTGAAGGGTGCAATCGGGCCAGAGATCACCCGGCGGCACCTGGACCAGCTTGCGGAAGACCGTCAAGGGAGGTTCCGCCAGGGCCCCTCGCGGGGTGCCCCCCGAAAGCCAGGCAAGGGGCAACCAATCAGGCTCGAGATTGCCCGCCGGATGGCGCCCAGGCCATGGTGCCTGGAGAACGCCAACAGCCTCCGATGCGGTCACCGGTGGGGCGGGGCGTCTGGGCGTCGCTCCTCCTCCGCCTCGTCATCCTCTCCTGCCCCCTCCTCCGAGTCCCCTCCTCCGCCCCTCCACGAAAACACAGCATGAATGCGGCGCTGCTCTCCCCTTCTGATGCTGTCTTTAGTTGCGCCCACCTGTCTCGCATAGTGATTTTACACGGGATTATCCCGAGCTGGGTTTCGAGATGATGTGTTCCATGCGATTGTGCTCAGCCTTTTCAAGGTGGAACTCCCGCTGCAGCATTTGATGATATCGAGCGAGCGTCCGTCCAACGGAACGACGCTGTCGTCGCAGCGTTGTCCGTGTTCTTGCAGTCGAAGTTCTTCTCCCGTTGCAGGGTTTGCTACATTTACGGAGCTCCGCTCTCGTCGCAACGTTGGCCGTATTTTGCATCAGCAAACAGTGTGTTACCCCTGCTGCGAGTGCGTCATGCCATGTTCTACATAGAACCTCCGTCCAGTGGAACGACGCTCTCGCCGCAGCGTTGGTCGCACGGTTGCATCAGCGGAGGTGTTGTTCCCGCTGCAGCGTGTGCAACATTGAGGTCCACAGAGCGTCCGTCTGACGGAACGGCGCTAGCGCCGCGGCGTTTGCCGCCGCCTTGCTTCCGCATTGGCCTTGTGCCTCCCCAGGTGGTTCCTTGCGTGCCGTGCGTTGCTGTGTGCAAAGACGGGCGTCGGAAAAGACCATGAGGATCAAGGATTTCCCCGACACCCTGTATTGCGTGTAAACGTGTTTGAACGAAATCGAAATCGATGGGAATGAGGATGCAGGACGCCATACATGCCGCGAGCGCACCTGGTTTGGCCTACCTCCTCTCCTCCCGCCTCCCTCCTCCTCGCCTGGGCGAACCGAAGCTGCCTACTGACTGGAATGCAACTGCGCACCAACGCCACATTCGGTCAGGCTCATCCTGAACCCTCAGGGCTTGGCTCAAGGAGCCAAGCATCACCAACCGTCCGCTCACACCGACCGTGGCCAGGCAGACCCTGAACGCCCAAGATCCGCACGGACTCTCTCCCGGGCTCGGTCGTCTGCGCGACGCGACGCTGGGGTCGGCGGCGTTTCGGCGGCGCGCGCCGGGAAGTTCGGCCAGAGCCGGGGCCCCCGGAGGCGCCAGGAACCGAGCGCTGCCGACGCCGAGAGGATCCCAGGGCGGGCCTGGCCAGGGCCTCTGCCGGTGTGTGTGTGTGTGTGTGTGTGTGTGTGTGTGTGGCCGGCGTCCGCCCGGCCAGGTGCGGCCCGGGCAGCCGTGCTGGCTCTGCGGCCACAAGTCCTGAGAGGGCCGCGCGGGCACCCCCACCGGGCGGCTAGGCGCCGCCCGCGCCGATAAGAGCAGCTGTGACTGGTTGGCGGCGGGGGGGGGGGAGAAGGAGGGCTTCAGGCGGAGGGAGGAGAAGGAGGAGGAGGAGCAGGAGCAGGAGCAGGAGTA